ACGGTCAACAATCTCGGCCTTCTGTACAAGAGTCAAGGCAAGATGGCGGAGGAGGAGGAGATGTATCTGCGGGCGCTGCGTGGGTACGAGAAGCTGTCATGGGTCCCGCCGGCCCGTATAGAATCCGTGGAACGGTCCTTGTTCTCTTTGCGCCAACGATCGAAAGACCTTCACAACGAGCAGGCAAGCGGGACCATCTCACGTGTAGACGGTCGTAAGTCAGCACAGACAGCGTCCCGGAAGAGGCGGTGGAAAGCATCGTAGAGAACAGAGCAAATGAATGAACAGGATGTGGAAACGCTCGTAGATAGCTTTCTAAACCCAAATTATTCCTGCAATACAATTTCATCTTCGATGGGAATAATCTTTCGCAGTAAACACGAGTTGACGATCTTGTTCCGAAAGGAATCCATTCTCTGTCGAGGCATGAGGGAGAAGACCAAGTCGTGTATCAGATACAGCAACGAGTGCTCAGAGGTACAGTTAACATCTGCGGTTTGTACATACGAAATCTCATCACACGCAAGCTACAGCAATGCTCAAAGTCTGTCTCTTTGCTCTCGTCTTCTCTCAGTGTACCGTTCATCTAGAGAGTCGTTAGGGATGATTGCCGGACATCTCTTCTTGCATCGTTGTGTTGTGACCCCTACGAGGACTGTCGGCAACCGGATGTCAATGTGCAAAATACAAGCGTCCGAATGTACGAACTACCTATCGAAATGACCGGCTTTGTAGACCACGGTGGTTTCAGAGCCTTCGATGTGGATAGGTGTGCTTGGCTGGATTACGGAGGCGCATAGCAGGGTTCTTCGGGAGTTCTCGGCCGCGGGCATGACTCAGCAATAGGGATTTCAAAACGAGATCATGAGTGTCGACGGCGGCAGCGCTCTGGATCGGGCAGCCTTGGTCTGGAAGCAACATGATTGAGGACAGCTGTAGAGAAACATACAAACGATCCATCGGGATCGATAGAGCTGCAGAAAGATCTGTGCTGCGCCCGTATGCAGCGATCGGCAAGTGAGGTCGGATTTCGCATGAGGACGGAATCGACGACAGCGCCTGCAAGATGAGACCAATTTGGACATAAGGCAGTCGATAGGAAGCTGACATCTCAATTCGCAGTCTCGATGACTTGGACCAAATTAATACAGGTGTTGTAGAATATTATGGATGAAAATCTTCAAAGCTGGCTCGTCACACAGGGTGGCTCGCAACGCCGGGAGGGACGTTAATTTGTACGATCACACGCTCGCATTTTGCACGTTCTCATCCGCTTGCCGATGGTCCTCCCAGACGCTATAACACAGCGATACCAGGTGAAAGGTACGGGGTATGTCTTTGATCAATCCCGAGAGCAAAGGCAAATTGAAACAAGAAAGAGGAAGTAGAAAAGAAGCATATTCCGAGCGCTGCTACGATACACGCATGACTGTTTACAGATTCTACACGGACTTGACATCATCCTCGGAATGGGACTATCCCACCTCTAATGAGTGAGTCGTTCAAGCAATTGATTTACCCACTGTCCGGCTGTCGTATCGTTGACTAAGAGCTCTCCATGAAAAGTCCCCGGAGTGCGTGGAACATCCAGAAAGTCGTGAGTCGCGCATGCTGAAAATGCGCCATCCTCTTGATCAATGCCACCTGTGGACTTTTGATAACACGGCTCACACAAATCGACGTCCGGACAGCACTTGCACACTAGATGCCTGTCGCCCAATCTTAGCCTTTCCTCGCAGCCGTCGCATACGGGGCCATCTCGCGAACTCCTGTAAAATTGGAAGGCCGTGAATGCATGCTCGCGGTTGTCCATCCACATCAGAATCCTACCCACGATGCCCATTTCATGCTGAAGTAGACCGTCGCAATAAGCGAGAAGCCGCACAAGCTTTTCTAATGTGAATAGGACGCCATCTGATGCATAGGTCATAAATGCTTGGGGAAGGCGCAATCTTCTCGCATTCACATGTGTAAAATGCACAAAGGCTTCCGTCTTGTAAAGTGAGAGCAGATTTGTAGCCGTTCGGAGCGTGTCCGCATGATCTCGTCCCTATGTCTTCTCGTACCCGCGCAGCGCCCGCAAGTACATCTCCTCCGCCTCTGCCATCTTGCCTTGGTCTGAGTACAGAGCGCCGAGATTGTTGACCGTGTCCAGCGTCGACGTGTGCTCCGCGCCCCATGCCTTCTCCTTCCCGCGCAGCGCCCGCAAGTACATCTCCTCCGCCT